ACTCTGTTAGTGTTTCATGTTTCAGAGACTCCATTATGGCCACGTAGCTGGGGTGGGTAAGGTGCATGTTCCTCTCCCCTTCCCAGACTCTTTCTCCTGCATCCCTCTCTCTGGTCTGGCTCTAAAGCAATGAGCTCCCTACCATCCCCCTCACCCCCAACCCAACCCACTGCTGGGGCTTTGTTGGGAAGATAAGCCATGCAGGAATGACCCCCCTCCTGGCTACTTCCCAGGCAAAGAGGTCATGAGCTGGAGGCTGGGGAGACAGGATCAAGGGGGGTTTGGTTGAGGTGCAGTATGATGGGTTCAGATCTGATCTCAGGTGAAACCTCTTTGTTGGCAAAGCTGTGAAGCAGGAGGACGGATGCCCAGAGCAGTGTGGCGGGCGGGGGGGGTAGGCGGGGTCCCCCATCCTTGGAGGTGCCCATGGAGAGGTTAGACAGGCATCAGTCAGGGATGATTTAAGAATAGCTCTGCCTACACTCTGCTCTGGGGATCCCCCAGGCTGCTGGGCTTTGCTGGTTGCTGCATGGGCCTGGGATGGAATATTTCCCCCTCCTGCTACTACAAGTGTCAGGGTTTATTTCCCCCTTCCACAGAGGCATTGGGTTTTGGCTGCAGCCCAGGCTGGGGATTGCAACTGGGCTGTGCCAGTGTTGCTGCTGGGACTTGGCCCCAGAAAGGTCCTGGCTACAGGGTTGTGCCCCTCAGGGTCAGACTGATTTGGGGTCAGGAAGGAATTTCCCTCCCTGCTCAGAATGGTATGGATTGGGGGGTTTTGCCTTCCTCTGTAGTGGAGGCACAGCCTCTGCCTGAGCTTATATTAACAGCTTTTTACAGGAGCAGGATGTTGGCCACTGGTCTCCCTGCCTTCCCTGGGGCAGGGTTGGGTGTGATGCCTGGTGTTGTGTCAGGGCTGACAGTGTCATTTTGCTCAGAGGTTGGATGGATGATGGATTTGTCTGTCTGGGCTGCTTTGGACAAGGCTGATCCTGCTTCAGGCATGGGTTTGGACTCTAAGATCTCCAGGGTCCTTTCCAGCCTGGCTTTGCTGTGCTTTCTAGGGTGGGCAGGATCAGGACAGGAGCTGGGGCTGAGGTATCCACAGGGTCCTGATGGAGGAGCACACACCGGTGCCCTCATCCAGTCAGGGGTAAACCACCCCTCCCAGAACCAGTCGGTACTGGTGACTGCAGTAAGACCCATCCACAGCTCCGGAGGAGGGGTTAGACTCCATGTCAGGAGCTACCCCTGGACCCCTTTTGCCAGCTCCTCTAGCTGGCCTCTGGGTGCCAGGTGCAGGGCCTTGCAGAAAGGACTCGGGTGCCTGAGGCTGAGTTGGCTCTGGAGCTGAGGCTACAACAGCTTGGTGGCCACCCTAGCCCAGAACAGGATGGGACACCATGACCTCTGGCAAAGCAGGGGGTGTCTTGCTGGAATGGCTACTCCAACCTGAGTCTCAGCCTTCGTGGTGCCCCCCCACCCTGGCCAGGCCCAGCTCTGGGCCTGGTTCCTATACACCCCAGGCTGGAAGCAGCCCCTGTCTGTGCCCAGCCACCTGGTGGGGGCTCCCACATGGTCCCCTAGCTGGTTCCTGCCCCTACAACCTCTGTCAATGCAGTTCTAACCAGTCTCACTGTTTCTCTCACTGCCCCCTCCTTCACTGGGTCTCCCCTGTCTCCAGCTCCCATCCCTATGCCCCCCATCCTGCCCATCCCACCCACTGGCTCTGACCTTTCCCAGTCTTGCTTTGCCCCCCCACTCCAGCTTCTACCCCCTCCTTGCCTATGATCCCACCCTACTTGCGCCGCCTGGCTCTCCCACTCCACCACGTCCCATCCTGTACTCTGAGGCACTGGGTAAAGGCTGGCCCATCTGGGCATGCCATTGCAGCCCTGGCTTGACTAGAACCTCAGAGCTGTGCCCCCCCTTGCTTCCAAGACCCAGGGGCAGGGCAACAGTCTGGACTGCTCTGAGCCAAGCCAGGTCCCTTCTCGGGTGTGGGGGTGGAGGTCAGGGGCCAAGCCAAGCTCTCCAGCCCAGGCATTAAGGCTTGGGTTGGTGGGTAGCTTGATAGGGACAGAGAGACCCATGTCTCCCCCCACTCAGGTCAGACTGGCACAGATTTGGGGGGATGGGAGAGGGGGTTAGGGTCTCCTTCCTAGGGCTTTCCATGGCCCCCAGCTCTGTGGGTTCTGGGGGTTGGTTTAGAGGGTCACTACTGGACTCGTCAGCTGGGTGGCAGCAGTAGAAGGCTTTTATCCTCCAGAGGCTGGAGAGCAAAGGGCAGGGCCAGAGAGGAGGCCCCCTGTGCAGTGATGGGGGGGCCAGGTCTCCAAGGCTTGTGGGGGTAGGGGTTAGAGGAGGTGGGGGTACAGTCAAGACACCTGGGTTCTGGCCCTGGCTGCAGCAGGAAGGCATTGGGGTGATTTCCCCGCCAAGCTCCCAGGTTCTACCCAGCACTGTGCTCTGGGAGACCAGGGGGTAAGTGTCTGCCCTGCACCGTGCCTCGGTTTCTCTGTTTGGCCTCCCCTCCCCCCCCGCCAAATCCAACTGCTTGCAGTCTGATCCACAGGCTGTCCACCCCAGTCTCTGCCCCTTGCCCCCTTCCTCCATGACTCCGGCTGTCCAGAAACAGGGGGGGAGACTCCTGACACCACCCCCCCCCCCCCC